CTCTCTTCCGAATACAGTTCTTACCGTGTAATACTTTGAAACATTTTGGTATACAGCCAAAATATATATAGAGTACGATGGAGAAAGAGGGTACTTAAAATACCAACATGACTCCATGGAATGATTATTTACTTGCAAAAAGATCGGTTTGCACAAGGATTTCTAGTCTTCAAAAGAACAGAAGCGAAAAGAAATTATACAAATGCATAGCTACACGTTGCTTACAGCTTATTGTCATTTGAAGACTTGATCACGTTAAAAGAAGTTAGTTGTATAAAAACACGTTTTGGCCTTGTGCATACCATAGCCTACATTAAACTGCCGACTGCTGAAGCGTCTGGAATTCCCATCATTTCATTATTTTCTTTCTAGTGACCCGAGTGTGAAGTGATTCGGAACTTGAGCGCTCAGTCTTTTTCTTTATTCATTCGCAATTAAAAAAAAAAAAAAGAAACTCCATTTGATATGTATTAAATCATCGATCTTAAATTTCATTATTTCTACGAACTGATCTGTGTGAAAATGTGTGCACTATGTATTAATGAGCTGAAACTTTGTATCTGGCAGGCGCTAATCTGATTCGGATGGGAGAGAAAAACTAATGAAAGGGTGCTAGTCTGAGTTCAGTGTAGATACGATGCGGTTGCTGCATAACTGCTTTTATGTCTAGATATTTGTATCTTGAGTATGTTCATAACTTCATATGTAAATCTCGTATAGGTTCGTGCACTGTAGAACACAGATGCTTGACTATTTAGGGTCTGTTCTCTTTGCTGTCTTGAGATCATTTTCAGTTTTCAGTTTTAAAAACACTGAAAACACGTTTACTTACCTATTTTCAGAAACGAATTTCCAAAAACGAGTTTAAAATTTATAAAGAAAACGGAAAACGCCGAAAAAGTTGTTTTGGCCGTTTTCAGTTAAAATCAAGCCAAAACTTCAAAACGCGAAAACGGTCTAATTTTGTCAATAGTGGGATAGCTTGGTTGGGAGAGTCATTTATTTTCTGAATGTCACGAGTTCGATTTCGTTTCACTACAAATCAATACAAATGAATTTTTTTTTTTTATGCACGGTACAAAATTTTTCAAATAAATTGGTAGGTGGCTGAGATTTGAACTCGAATCACGAGCATGAAATTGCAATGCCTTAACCACAATGGTAGCTGCTTTTGCTCTGTTATACAAGTAATATATATATATATATTGAATAATTAGTTTTTCAATTTTTAAAAATTAGAAAGTAAATGCTTTTTTAATTTTTTTTATTTTTTAAAATGACAAAAAGAATGTGTTTTCAGCAATCTCAAAATAGATACTCAAAATGAATTCAAAACTCAAAACTAAAAACTGAAACACGAAAAGAATAACTCCTTAGTTTTTGAATAAAATCGAATGTAAAACTACAATCATCTCATGCTATTTAAGCATTCTTAGCATTTTCTTGAAGGATCATTTACACAGTTGTTTCTGGTGATAAATTATAAAACGTGAAAAGTATTTTTATCTTTACATAAACACAGACAATCTCATTAAGCAAGATCATCACCAACAGCAAACCAAATAGAAAACATAATACATTAGTTTAAAAGTGCATGTGTGTTAAGGGATAAAATTTCATATCGAATAAAGATAAAAATATAGATTAACTTATAAGGATTTGTATTACTTCTCTTAATAAGGTTGACGTTTTAAGATGAAATCCACAATCCTAACATGGCATTAGAGTATTTGAAGCTTCAATGAGCAACTCTATCTGATTAAGACTCGAGCATGCGGATTTTAAAATTGGGTTGCTCAAACGAGTCATCAACTTGCGGGGGCATATTAATGAATAAAATCTAACATCGAATAAAGATAAAAATATTGATCAATTTATAAGGATTTGGATTATTTTAAGATAGAATTCCAAATCTTTACGGCTAGCACTAAAACTAGTTACTAACGAAGCAAGATTGTAGGTTACTAGGGGTCAGGAGTATAAAGGGTGCACAGACCCTGGTCAATTTGGGCATATCCCGCGATTAACCTCCACCCATCACTGAGGGGCTAGGGATGGGTGGTCCAGGACATAGTCTAGTGTAAGTTAGGATACCTGGATATCAAAAAAAAAAAAAAAAAAAAAATAGTGTGATTAANGGGTCGGGGATGGGTGGTCCAGGACATAGTCTGGTGTAAGCTAGGATACCTGGACATCAAAAAAACAAAAACAAAAGATTGTAGGTTACTTCATCCCCGTAGAGGGCGTCAAAACATCAAGTGCCGAATTCAACTTGTGATAACAAAATTACAATATGAAAAAGTAGGAGTACTAGGAGTTAAATGAGCCGCAGTTTCCGGTCCATGGATTACTCGAAGGGCATTCCAGTGCACTACATCAACTAGTATAGCATTGACTTCAACAAAACATAGACATTTCCATAAAACATGTGCTTCGGGAGATAATCATTCCTCAAATTTCTTGGCAAAAGCAGCCACGAAATGATTGTGACCATATTTATGCATTTTTTCTTGTTATAGCTCGATAATTGGACTTGGACTATTCCCAAACAAAGAATATCTTGTTTCTTAATATTTGATTCCATCCATTGCACAATTCATTGTTAAACCGTGCCAAAAATAAAAACCATGGTTTACCAAATGAGCTGCCAGCACGTTTTCAGACATTTAAAGATTTAACAAACTTTTTTTTTGACCAAGTGTTACAAGATAACATTATGGGTGTGTTTGACACCCATTTTGATGGGTTGAAAAATTTTGGAATAGTGATTGATGGGAGAATATGTGGTGGAAAAGTGATGAAAA